AGAAAAATTTTATGAGTTCTCAGATTTTTCTATTTTTATGGCATTGCCAATATTTAAATTGTATATTTATATATATATATTTATTTATTTAATTATAGATGTCGTCATTAGATGGCAGCACTAATCATTAAAAGAATTAAAGTTTTAATGTTGTTATTTAAAAAGATAAATAAAAAAACACACGATTAATTTTTAAATAATTAAATACATATTTGATATTAAATGATTTTATTTATATTGTGATTCTAAAATAAATAAAATAATTTTAATTAAAAAAACATTAATTAACTTAATAACGCAATAAAATAGTTATATTTTCAGTTTAAATATTAAACAATTTCTAAATAAAGTTTTATTTAACATTATAAATAATTGTAACTTTATATAATTAACTTTATAACAAAAAATAAATCGAAATATTTATTTAACTTATTTTTCACCCGACAGATGGCGACATAATTTCACCCTAATTTTTTTAAACTAGTTTAACAATTAAAATTTTTATAACTATTATAAAAAATCTTTTATAATATAAAAAAATACAAAAATTTTATTATTTTTTAAATATAAAAAATAAAAGTTTTAAAAGGAATTCAGATGAAAGAATTCCCATGAAGAAGCATCAGAATTTAGGTTAAAAAAATATATATAAATACTAAAAAGTTCTTATCCAAATTCAGATCTAAACAGGTAAAAAGGTGGTTTGATATAGGCTATGGTTATAGGAACCTGTGGAAAAGGAGCATATGGTTGTGATGTCTTACATTTTCATCCTCTCTTCCTTTTATCTTTGGATAGTTGCTACTATGATATTTATATTGCAAGTTGCTGTAAAGTTTTAAAACTTTGTTTAAAAATAAAATATCGTGTTGAAGAATTTCTTACACTAAAATATAGGCGAGAGGAACTTTGAAAACACAGCAAAAATATATATATTTTTGTATAGAAACGTAAAGAAACCAGTAGGATATTGCAGCAGAAGAATCAAATTTTAAGCTGTTTTTTTAGACTTTCCTTATAAAATAAATGTATATTTTAAGAATTATATTAATGAATATTAAAAAATTAAGTTATATCAGCTTATGAGAAAGCAAATTTTATAAATAATTTAAGAAGTTTCATCACTCTTCAAGTGATCACTCATCACTCATCATTTTTCAAGATTCTTATGAGAATAATCTTAAAGATTTTATTCTTATAAAATGAATATTTATTTTAAGAATTTTGTTGAACGATGTAAGAAAAGTCAAGTTATAAAATTCGTTAACGAAAGCGTGTATAATAAATAAATTAAAAGCTTTCATCACTCCGCATCCATCCGCATCTTTCATCATGTTTAGTGAATTGTGTGAAAGTAGAAATTTTAAAGCATTCAGGACATTTAAAATAAATATATTTTAGCATTTGCGTTAATAAATATTATAAGAATTAAGTTATAATTATTGGTGTAGGTTAAATTAAATTAATTTTATCATTCCTCATCCATCTATTAACGAACTTCAAATTCTACAAGATTCATTTTTTCAAATTTTGATGATTAAATTCAAATTTTTATGGAATTTTTAAAAATAATTTTCTCAAAATATTTAATGATTTATGAAATTCATATAAAGTCTAAAAGATTTAAAATTTTTGTAAATTAATTTTATAATTGTCAGTTGAGGAATAAGCCATATAAGCCAAAGCTCATTCCTCATCCTTCATCTACACTCATTGATTTCATTATGGGTCAGGTTTTTTCCAAAATAAATTATGTCCTAAAATATGATCGTCAAGCTCCCTGACTCAGTTTCTTTAGAGGCATTACACAGATACAGATATAAAACAAAAAATATTAAGAATATTCAGTAAGAAGAGGTAATAAGGAAATGATGCCTCCGGACCTACCTGTAGTTAAAATCTTAATATAAATAATATAAATTCAAATATATATCTCGTTACTAAAAAAAATGCAAAAAAGAATA